TTATTACCACAAACCCCATGTCATCATAGCTTTTCACCTAGAGTTGCATCCTTTGAATTTTCCTGAACAAACCTTCATTACCCAACAACCTCAAATCCAAACCATTGGATGGTATGATTCTAATCTCCTTAATTTCTAGATGTTCCAGACAGATCTATGGAAAGAGCTGAAAAATATCACGTTCTATATTAACAGAATCCAGCCAGAATGGATTCTATTGGATGTCTTTGCAAGAATTACAATATGGAACGACGAAACATCTCTCGGAGCAAAACTTCTTCACCAACTACACTTATGGCTAGCTGATCATCCACCTCCTCCAGAAGGACAGATCAACTCCAGCTCCAGTGACGATTCATATGTTGGACCTTCACATAGTCCCTCTAATCATTCTTCTCCTAGTTATGACTCTGAAGGACTACCAGTGGATTATGACACGGATTGATCGTATCAAGATAAGGATGTTGTCACCATCACCAACATGGATCAAGATAAGGATGTTGTCACTGTACCCACTAGTGCTGTCACTGTACCCACTAGTGCTGTCACTTTACATTGTACCCACTGTACCCTACCCACATGGATTCACGTGGCCTTCCCTTCCAAATACCTAGGTCTACCACTCTGCGTAGGCAAACCAAAATTGAGATTGTGGTCTCACATCATAGACAAAGTGGACTGTTGACTTGCAGGATGGAAGGGTCACTTCCTTTCTCCGGGAGGAAGGTTAACTATGATCAAAGCCACTCTAGCTAACATCCCAGTCTACTAAATGTCTTTATTCCGCATGCCTGTGGCAAAGCTCCAGGATTGAACAGTTAATGAGAAGGTTTTTCTGGTCTAGTGATGGAGCCAACAACAAATTTCACTTGCTTGGGACAAACTTTGCCAATCTAGGCAAAGGGGAGGACTAGGGATCAAAAACCTTAGAACTCATAATTTAGCCCTCCTCGGTAAGTGGTGTTGGCACACGACAAACTTGAGGAATCAGCTGTGGATAAATATAATCAAGCACAAATACCATCTTTCCAATACACTGTGGCTACCAAACCGTAGGACCAACCAAAGATCTTCAGGCATTTGGAGGTCGATATGTTCAACCTTCAATGCCTTCAAGTCCTGAATTAGATTCCATCCGAGATCAAGGAACCATTTTCTTTTCTGGCAAGACCTATGGTTAGGCCACACTCCTCTAAGGGACAAGTTCCCTGATCTTCCTTGATCTCTATTTTCTAACTCGAGATCAAGGGGCTACCATAGCATATGAAATGCTATCGACAGGGTCCTCTCACTCATGGAACCCAATATTCAGAAGAGCTCTTAGCGACCCGGAGATTGTGAGCTTCATAAACTTAGCGGCAGAACTACACGCCTACTGCTTCCTTTTACCCACAGGTACCTATCGTATGATTTGGGCACCTGCACCTTCTGGCCTATTCACCTTCTCCTCTTTCTATCGAAGCCTTTTTGGCACCTGTGGCCATAGCTGCTCAAGCCTGGGACTCCTTCGCCCCCCCAAAATCCAGATCCTCATGTGGCTAGCTCTCTCTTAGGGAGTCCTCAAAGTAGATCAATTGCAGAGAAGGAGTATTCCGATACTCAATCGATGCGTCATGTTTGTCAAGCAGCTGAGGAAACAAACAATCATCTATTGCTGCATTGTCCCTTTGCCTTCAATCTTTGGGGGCCAATCTTCAAGCTATTCAATGTTCAGTGAGTGCTACAGACAGAGGTAACATCCATTTGTTCAGCCATCAAACCCTATCCTTGGACAAAGGCGGGGATACTACTCTGGAAATCATCAGTGGCAGCTGCTCTATGGGCCCTATGGATCGAGCGCAACAACAGAACATTCTGGGGAGGGAAGTACTCCCCTTGGAACAAAGTTTTTGACAAGCTCAAGTCCACAATCACCTTCCGGGCAACCAACCATCGCAGCTTTAAAGGAATTCCAGCATCGGCTTTCAGCCACGATTGAAGCAATGTCCTCCAAGTCCATCAAGTGCGTCTATCCAGGACCACTAGGTGGAAGCCCCCTACAGTAGGAGAGCTCAAACAGAATTTCGATGGCTGCTCCATTAGGAACCGGGCCCGTCAAGTGTAGGAGCCATTCTTAGAGACCACCTCGACTCTACACTGCCACAGTTTGCAAACATATTGGCTATAACAACTCTATGGAAGCCAAAGCCGAAGCCCTCGTGCTTTTGGAAGGCTTAAAACTCATACAACCCACCTTCACTCTGTAGTGGTGGAAGGCGACTTCAAGAACACCATTTCTTAGGCTTAGAGACTTTCTTGCTCACCCCCCTGGTTCCTGGCACAAGTGTTTGACGAGATTCATCACCTTAGCAGGAATATGTCCGTCGTGTGGATGCATACATGGAAAGAAGGAAACCAAGAAGCTGATACGCTCGCCAAAGAAGCAGCTACGATGGCAGACAACTGACATTTTTTGGGTTTTCAGCTTTTTGGACTATTCTATTTTGTTGATCCTCGGATCGACCTATTTTATTAGGTTGCTACTCAGTTGTAACCTCTAAAAAAGGACTCGATCTGCCTTTTATTATGTCTTCCCTTGAGCATCCTTTTCTGCGGATTGCTAAGGTCTTTTGTACTCTTCTTTTCTCTCTATCAATTTAAGGTTAACATTATTCAAAAAAAAAGATTCAACGTCTTCGAGAACTATTGTTTCTTTTACCTTATAATTCTAGAGACAACAAAAAGTCCAAATGAAGAATCTCTCCCAAGATCTAAAGTCAAGGAATTTTTCACATATTTCACATGAATTTCACATACTTCACATGACAACCGAGAAGCAATATTAGTTCCATACTACAGTAGAAAAACAAAAACTTCACCAATTGTTAAAAATATCAAAACATCTAAAGAAAGAAACTTCCATTATTTATTTGTGATCTTATCACTTAAGTGGACATGATGTAAATAGATGAACATGATACCACAAACGTATTTTCCTCCCACTAGAAAGCTGGGATAATACCTCTCAACATCTTTAATTATGGGCCCAAGTAGCACTAGTACAATTCTTATTTTTTCCTTTTTTTCAATTGAATCCTCCACATTAGTCTATTTCATTGTACAACGATCTTTCTGGCACTAAATTTTTAACCAGTGTTCGATTGCATGAACTGGCCTGGCCAGGTCCGAGTAACCCGGAACCGCTCTAGGCAACCTACATCAACCGGGTAGGTCCCAACCGTGCAAAAAAGGGTTAAAATAATCTAAAACAAATCTCAAAAAATTCCAAAAAATATGAAAAATATGGTTAAAGTATAATTCAAAAAAATACATCCAAATGAGATTAAAAAAGTAGTGAAAAACTGGATTTTGATAAATCAATTTGTGCCCAGGGGTACTTTAGAAATAATCTAAAAAAAAAGGGGGAAAATGTTAAAAAAAAGTATTTATGGCCAAAATACTTCTTTTCCTAACAATAGAAAACATTAAAAAAAAACTGTTACAAACAAATTTATTATTTTTTTAGATTATTTATAAAAAAATTATATTTTTCAAGTTAAGGTGGTCAAGGCTGTTGATCTCACCCTAACTTGCCAAAACTGGCCACGGCCAATGTCCAGTTCCGAGAAACCAGACCAGGTTGCCGAACGTCGTTCTTAACACATGTTTCATTCTCCAGATGATTTCATGTCAATCTTTCATCTTCTTATTCCTGGCCATTGTAATCATACTCTCAACTCACCTTCTGTTGTCGTCTTAGTTTGTAGACAATATCTGCGATATAGCAAAAGTAGCTCACAGCTGGAAAAAGTCTCTAGATTTGCATATCAAGAGAAAACTCAGAAGTGTAAGTGAGGGTTTACAAATGATTCAATAGAGTACATTTTTCTGCACCTTTTTATGATCCAGAATGAGGCAATTATCTCAATAGGTTATCATCTGCTATTGAGGTGGACTTGGGAATATCATATGATAAATATACTTTTAGGGTTTTAATAAACCTAGAATCCATGTTGCGTAGGCATGGATATACATGTTGGACATGGAGGATTTTGGTTTTCTATAAACCTTAAAAAATAGTATTTGGCAACATATAGATTCAAAACTAATGATGCTTTCACTCACGTCCTTACTTTTATTCTATTTCCTGATATAAATAAAGAAAACCATGCCAAAACATGGTAGCAAACTGGGGACTTAGTTTTGTTCTATTTCCTAATATAAATAAAGTAAACCATGCCAAAAAATGACAAATACCATGAGACTTTATCATCATCAAGACTATGATTTCAAGGATTGGGATTATGTGCCAAGGGGTGAAGTGAAGCATTACTTTGTTCCATAGGTCAAATAATAATTCTATCACAATTATCCAAAAAAAAAACACTACCTCATACTGACAAGAGTTAACTATGAATATATTCTTTTTACAGATTTGTATTTGGTGGCTTGCTCTTTCTGTAATTCTATAATTGAACCCCTCATCTCTTGGTTTATATGCAACATAGGCAGAACTACACCTGATGAGCAAATTCGCAAATAAGAAAGGAAATAAAAAAGAAAAATCGATAACAATCTCTGTAGGTATTAGTACTGGTATGAGCACACATTTTAGACAAAGATGGCATGCATTAGAGCAGTTCTACATTGTGGTATCAAGATTAAACAAAGACGATTCTCTAATCATGAAGCATAAATAAAGTTAAGTTATGATTCCCTTACATTCTTTTGACAAAATTCACACCATCAGTGATGCCCAAGTACATGAAAAATATATGACAACAGTGTGAGATTCTTTGAAAGCACACGAAAAAAATCACAAAAACCAATGTAGAAGCCATAATCACAACCAAGATCATAGCTAGACTAACTACTTCTTGCTCTTGTTCTCTCCCCTCAAATCTCAACCAGAAATTTCATGTGACAATATCGTACGAATGAAGGTTTCATGAAACACAATCTAAAAGACTATATCCATGTAAAACAAAGAAAAGGGAAAAAAGATGATCACATCCACTAACCAGATCCAGCAAGATACTCAACCAAAACTGTGTAAGTGTAGCAGTTGGGGGAGCATCCTGCTTCAATCATCTCCCTATAGACTGCAGCAGCTTCTTTTGGCCTATTATGGTCGAAAAGGACCTTCATAAAGGCGGTATAAGAAACCACGGTGAGGGCCAATCCCTTATTTTTCATTTCCTTCCAAACATTCAATGACCCATCAATGTCCCCATCTTTCGAGAGCCAGTGGAGAACCGAAGTATAAGTAACCGTGTCTATCTTTATACCCTTCTCTTCCATCTGATTTAGCAGATATTTCATAGATGAGATCCTTCCAGCTTCTCCAAATATATCAAGCATTGTAGTATATGTGAACTGATCATGTTTAAAGCCCTTAAGATGTGAACACCAGTCAAAAAAGAGCCACGCTTTTTCCATTGGGGGATGGGATTTGAGCACTTGATTTATTGTAAAGGAATCCCATTTTATCGAAAGATTCTCCAATTGCTCACAAGCCAAAGCCCATGTAGAAAACCTTAAAATTCTGGATATATTCTCAATGACAGCTCTCATATAAACAACTGGTTTCTGATCCTCTGCCTTTTCATGTGATTTTGGTAATCTTTTTGGTAATCTTTGAGGCCTTTTCTTCCCCAATTTAATGAATTTTATTGGTTTGGATTGTCGAAGAGAATGGGTTTGGCATACCCATTTGATGGAACGATCAAAGAACCCAGTGAAGAAAACCGGGTGCCGAAGCATATTGATCATGATGGATTTCTCAACATATATGAGGAGAATTGCTGAAGCATATTGATCATGACGGATTTCTCAACATATATGAGGAGAATTGCTTGATAATTTAAACTTTATACTACAATCATACTTCTGAAATGATCCAATTCTCTGCCAAACGAAAGAGTAACTGACATTTGAGTTCAGGCTTTGGGTTTCATGTAAGGCAAGCAATGTATCAATCAAAATATAAATATATACCAAACAGCATGCTCAAGTTAATAGCTAACTATTTCTGAATTTTCACTATCAGATCCCCCATTATAAATTGAAACCATAATGAATGTGTACATTGTGTTACACCTCATTAAACTATGAGTTGAGACGTAAAAACAATTTATATTTTTTTACACTTTGTCGAATTACAAGAAACCAACATTATATAAACAAAAAAACTACTTCATTATCTGCAAATTGGGTCAAGCATGCCAAAATCATAATCAAATTCACTATAGAAAACCATAGTCCATTCAATCATCATCATCCAAGTAAAAAAATTTCAAAAATTTTAATGGGGATAGTGTACTATAATCAAATTCACTATAGAATCCCCTGTTTTAGCTCAGATGAAATAAGCTCATGAAGATTATTATCCAATCCTCATAATGCATTCTTTCCCTGCATGACAATAATCCAATCCTCTCACGATAATGCATTATTTCCCTGTGTGACAATAATGCAGAAAATGTGAACAAAACGAAAGAAATTTGCCCTAGTGGTGACAAAACAAAAGAACTTCGCAACAAATGTGACAATAATGCATTCTTTCCCTGCGTGACAATAATACTTGCTGAGGTTGACCATTGTTTCAACATGCTTATTTTCATTCATATTTTTCTTGAAAATAATTTTCATTCATTTTTCACAATAAGCCAGAAAACAAATATATGCAGCACTTTGCCCTAGTTGGAAAAAAACCATTCATGGAGATCCTATTATTCTTTATCATCATAGCAAAACTTTCCACAGTTCAGAGCACAAATCGAAAAACTCAGAAACCAAGAAGATAAAGTACCCATTCTCTCATAGCATAGATGGTCTTTTCTATGAGAAACCATAGAAAAAAAATATTTGCATTGGTAACTAAAAAAATCAGCACTATCTAGAGGGAAAACCCAGGAAAATTACAAGAATAAAACCCATAACCTTGATGAAAAAGATGAGGTATTTTGTACGAGGGTTCCTATGAGGGAAATCCTACATTGTTTGGTGGAGGATCTTAACCCTATGTCGAAGAAAAACAAGCAAAAAAAAAAAACCAGCCAGAAAAAAACAACCTTACCTTGTTGAAGAAGATGAAAGCTTGCAAATGGAGCCTCGCTTGAAGAAGATGAGGTACTTTGTTCAACACAATTTCTTCCGTAGAATTTAGCCACTCTGTTCGTTTTAAGCGAGAGGAGGTTTGGAGATTTGGATGGGCTTTCCTAATTTAATGCTCGTCTTATATGTACAGGGACAAAGAAACCTTGATGGCCTAGAGCCCTCTATATATGGGGAACGCAAAAGTGGTGGCATGCTTGCAGAGGCAAGAGAAAGAAGCATCACGTGGCTACCCCCTTCTCTTGCTCTCAAATCATCTCTCAAGGAGTGGTTCTCGTATGGGTTAGGGTTTGTCTGTGGATGTACCCTTCATAGACCTTGTTGTTACAGGCAAACCTTTGAAAGGTAAAACATTCATCTCCATCGCGTTCGCAGGGGTTTGCACAGCATCGATGCAGATCCTAGATGATCAAATTGAGTAAGGTCGACTGTATCAAGTCCTCTTTTTCGAGTTTTGATCTTCCTTGCTGGGTTCGGATTCTCTTGTTTGTGTTTTGCGATATTAAGATTTTCAAGGCGGGCAAGGTAATTTGGGATTTTTTTAGGTATTTTGGAAATTTTTAGTATTTTGTATTTTCCATGGGCATTTTAAAGTTTAGGGAGGGTAGTTTGGGCATAACTAATTATTTCTCACTTTAGGTTAAGAGGAGGGGTGGCAATGGGCCTGGACCCTACGAGTATTCTCAACCGGGATATGGATCCAAGAATTAGACTCGGTAGGTCACATGCGAGTCCAAATGTTGAACCCGAACACTAATTGGGTAAAGGTCTGGGTTCGGGTCCAAAAACTTTGGGTCTGGTTAGGTCTAAGTCTGGATTTGTATCCCATATTATTTTTTCAAGCTGGGTTTGACCTGACCCAGCCCATATCCAAGCAGTTACTAGGTCAGAGAGGTGTGGCCTTCCTCTCACCAACTCCTATGTAGCGTTTGATAAGTTTCAGGATTCACCCTGTTAACTTTCCTAGATTCTAGGAAGCAGGTGAAAATTGATAGGGTGAACGCTCGAAACCTATTTAATAAATTGTGTTGCCGATAATTTCACATGTTTGGCAATGGGAAAGCTAGAAACTACCTGTAATACTGTTTATTATGTATTTCATTGATATGATGTGCGAAATGTAGGTTTTTAAAAATATTTTATAATTAAATAAAGTTTCTTCCATTCATCCAACATATTACCAAATTGAGAAAAATCCAGGGTTATTTTTTTAATAATAATACTAAATAAGAAAAAAAACTAAGCCTATTGAGTACAATACCAAAGAATGCATTGAAAATCAAATATTAGTCCACTAGAATCACTTCATTCTGACCCAAGGCAACAAAATAATAGCCAATACACAATCCCCTGGTATAAATAAGGAACTATATAAATTAACCAGAGGAATATTAAGAAGAATGGAATATTAATCAATGGAAGAAAGACCTAAGAAACTGCTCTTTCCACAAGAAAAAAAAAAAACCAGATCATCATAGTGATTCATATGAACACTGATCTAATAGTGCTTTTACTTCAAAAAAAGATAAATAATAGCCAAACATCTATTCTTTATTGGATGCCGAACCAAAAAAAGATAAGGGAAAAATCAAAATCTCAACCGGATGTAACCAATAAGGTCAAAATAAGAAAAAAACAAGTAAGAGTAATCAGTGCATGAGTGCTTTACCAGATTAGACATAGAGAGTAATGCTTACCGTAAGGAAACAAAAAAAAGCAAAGCAAATAAATCCATGGCAGACTTATAAAAGATGAGAGAAAAGCATTCTTGTCAGAACTACCTAAACACCCTGATTTCAAATAGAACAAAAACATAAATTAAAATAATAAAGCCACTCTTAACATGCCATAAAAATGCATAGAAAATTCAAATGGGTGTGTTTTTATAAGGTTGCAACCTTAAACAATCCAATTAAGGTGCACTTTCAAATTTTATCATAATATGCAAATTTGGTGTAAAGATTTCTTAAGGTTATTTTAAAATCTATTTTCATCACTAATTGTAAAATTTTAAACTCCAAAAATGATTAAAATCAAGTAGATCTGTAAACATATGAATCTCGAAATAGACAGTCTAGATAATATGTTGCAATATGCACTCTTTCTAAGACTCAAAGTCATTTTTTTTCCATATTCATACATCTCGATGTCGAGATGATCAATTAGAGGGATTTTCAAAATTCAAACAACATTTTTCGATGGATTTTTTAGGTCCATCTGTAATTCTACAATTAAGGTTGCAACCTTATATAAACTTTTTCCAATTCAAATAGAAAATTAAATCATGATATAATGTACAGAAGAAAAAAAAAAAATAGATCTAGGCTTTCTTTACTTTATCTATTTAGATTATAAAATAGATCTTATCTTTTTTTATCTTATCTTTTCTTTTAAGCCTTATCTGCATAGCTTAGAATTTTCTTGACTTTATCTTCTTCTTTTTTAAAAAAAAAATATCTTTTTCTTTTAAAAGCATCTTTGTCACATTTTTAAAAGACATTTTTCTTAAATAGATTAAAAAATAAAAATAAATAAATAAAGATTTTTTACATAGTCTTGTAGTTATGTCCATAGTTCGTGGTAACTCAGTTATTAAGTCTATTGCACAATCTAAACCCCTTAGAATGACTAGACCTACAGGAACTTATGGCTCAGTTCCCTGGGTCTACCCTGCCTCATGTCAGTCGATATCAAGTTTCAGTGGGTCCATAATCCCACACTCAGAGCTAAGCATAGCTAACCCATCTGTAGTTCAACCAAGCCTTAGAGTCTAGCGAGTCAGTATGGCTCGAGCTACTCAAAACAATCAGAGCATTCGACCCAAGACTAAAGAATCAGGGTTGAACCTACCTTCAACTTGTAAGTCTAGGTCTAGGGAAGATGCTCTCCAGTCAGGTGTGCACCTCCCACAAATGTTCAAGTCTAAGGATGACATTGCCTACCTAAGGGCACACCACCCATCTCTGTCTAGCTTTAGAGTTGATGTTGCCCAATTAGGAACACACCAACTCCTCAAAAAACCAATTCTAGAGGTCATCAACTTAGTAAAGTCTATAGAAACCCAGATGATGAACTCATTAGGCAGGCTAACCTATTAGACTTATGGTAATGCCGAAGATTAAGTCAGGGCCCAAGGAAGGCTAGCCACCAAGGAAAACTTGAGAGCCAGACATCTTTGCCTAAACCCAAGAGTTCATCAAGCCAGGCCTTTATTCCTCAAGGTTCACCCTTACACAATTCTAGGGATTACGAGTCTCTCTCGGTGTATTACGAACTTACTCGAGGTCAAGGCTTTCTTGAGGCGTGCTAGTCTTATTAAGTCACATGCTCCAGCCAGGCCATTGAGTCGTCAGTCAGATCAGAGTCAAAGGACCTCTCTAGCCCTTGAATAGCTGAATCATGTGAATTGCACCTCGTCGGCAAACCGGCACCGCCAATCTTCTCGTCTTCCATTTTCATAGACCTGGCTTGACCATGAGACTGTCCATCCCATAGTCAGTCCAGACCTGACCCTCTTCAAGTCATGTATAGTCATCCACCAGTGCAACCTCTTCACTCCGCCCCAGTTTTGTACCATTAGTCGCAGGCGACCTATTCAGCTCATGTTCAAACTCAGTATCCCTCAAGTCAGTCGTACATATCGGCTACATACCCTCTGGCCGCACCATCAACTTCCAGTCATCCTTACCCAGGATATCCTATCAATCAGGCCCTTATGTTTGCACCATCTCTCTATTCGAATCCAGCCATCTCACAAGTTTAGCCTGCCCCTAGTCCAATGCAGCCCATATCAGCTGCATCTCTTTGTACCACAAATTGTGCCATCAATTCTAAGCAACCAACAGACTTCTGAGGTGAAAACTACCGAGTAAGTTGAGAGAGCTCAGCTAAAAGGCGAACTAACCACATTTAAAGAGACCCAGCTAAGATCGGAGTTTCAAATATACCTACTCTAAGATCTTACATCAAGGATGTTCATGGGGATGTCGAGCCTCTTCCTTCGACTTTCGAATTCCCTCAGTTTGAAAACAAGTTCAACAGGAAAGGTGATCCTAAAAATCATATCATCGCTTACTTATTGAATGTTCCTACACTTGAAGAGAAACTTTTGTTGTGCTCTGATACCACTTGTTCTGCATGTGGAAGCATTAAACCCGGTGGATCAATATTTGGCAAATAAAATATGAGAAATAAAATATGAAATACATACCACAAGAACACAAAGATTTACGTGGTTCACACCCAAGAGGGCTACAACCACGGGCATGGTAAACAGGAATCCACTATACCAATGAAAGCTACATCAAAGATTTTGGAACAAACCTCGACAAAAACCAGATCGAGCAAACACTTTTAAACTTGCTCTCCCAAACGGTACCACTACTGATCTCTCACCTTTATTTCATAACTAGACCATTGTCAAGGAAGAGAATAACTTTGAGAGTAAACGAGACTTTATCTCACTAAAAAGAAAATCACACAAAATCTCAATAAGAACCGTTTTTCTATAAGAAACAAACCTCTCAACCTTCGGGAGTCCAAAAAAAGTATTATCACAATGTTTCTGTCCAAATAACGCTCTCTTCTCTAAGAGGAACTCACATCTTATGCACGGGAGACTCTACCTCTCTCTCTCTCTCTCTCTCTAGAGGAACCACCATTCCCATATGGTGACCCAAATTGGGCACATCAATTCTCTGTACTTTCATCTCATATTTTTAATTAAGAGTCCACATAAAATATGAAACTTCCTATTGATATCACATATATCTCAAAAGACCAAGAGATATATCCATCAAAGAGTCCTAATCTTTTTGAATTTCTATTTCCTGTAAAAAACTTATCAATATTAATTTCAATCCCATAAAATATGGGATTTCCTAATATGGGTGATTTTGGATAGCACAAAATCCAACAATCTTCACCTCGATATCAAAATCACTTGCTCACCATGCCAACATCCATTGGATAGCTTCACAAATTCTTCAACCTTTGCCAAATAAATTGTTTCATCATTCTTGCTGAAAAAATAGTATTTGCCATCAAATTTATCCACCTCGAACTTTGCATTCAAAACCTTTATTGCCATACCACAAACCCAAACCACGGCTCTGATACCACTTGTTGTGCGTGTGAAAGCAATAAACCCGAATGGATCAATATTTGGCAAATAAATGTGAGAAATAAAGTATGAAATACATAACACAAGAACACAAAGATTTACATGGTTTATCCAAGAGGGCTACATCCACGGGTATGGCAAACAGAAATTCATTATACCAATGAAAGTTACATCAAAGATTTTGAAACAAACCTCGACAAAAACCAAATCGAGCAAACCCTTTTAAACCTGCTCTCCCAAACGGCACCAATGTCAATCTCTCATCTCTATTCCATAACTAGACCATTGTCAAGGAAGATAACAACTTTGAGAGCAAACGAGACTTTATCCCACTAAAAAGGAAATCACCCAAAATCTCAATGGGAAC